ACTTCTTGCAGTGAGGCTTTGGCCCCCGTTTGGGTGCTGCTCACAGGAGTTCTGCTCTGTGTGACACAGGAATCTGTCGATGCAGGATCTGTACACATGTGTGCAACACCATGGCACCGAGAGTTTTTGTGAACTCACGGATATTTCCAGATGTGTGGCTGATGGATCTCTGGGGAGCTCAGCTGAGCTTGTCACCAGCCTCTTACCAGCATTTGTCTGCTGGCTTGTGAGCACAGTGCTAAGGGAAAGGCCATATCCCAGCTCTATGAAACAGGCTTTTTCCTGGCAGCACTCTCAGCTGAGCTCTCTGTGTGGTCTGTTCTATCTCCCCAACCCTGAGATGTTCCGCAGTTTTCCTCCCAGAGTTTGGAAACCAGAGTACCAAATGCACTTTCCCACGCACGTACCCACGAATGCCTGATGTTGGAAGGGCCAGATCTTATGTGGTGTCACTGGTGATGTCTTTGCTAGAGATTCATCCCTGTGTGTTATTTCAGGAATGATTAATGCTGCAGTTTGGGTCTGGTGGTGGGACAACGTGCTCCTTGTGCTTTATTATTGCCCTTTTTGTGGAAAGGGCAGGCGGTGTTTGCCAAAAGCCAGCGCTGTGGGTTTTGGTCTCTGCGGGTTGAGGGAAGTCTGCCCTGCCACTCATGCACCCTCTGACCACAAAACCCCAGCTTTAAACTGACCTCGCATGAGTGATGTGATCCAGACTGGAGTAGATGGGGCAAAAAGACCTTTTGGCTGGTACTTTTCATTTTGTGGGAAGCAATTAATCACTGGAAGCAGCAAGGCAGGATGGCAGCAGGATCTGCCTGCCCGGTGGGGTTTGGGGCTTCTCTTCCATCATGCCTCAGGATGCTGATGGTACAGGCAGCGAGGTTAAAACTTTGCCAACACAGGCAAGCTGGGCTGATTTTTAAGCTGACTCAGTTTTCAAACAGTCTCTTGGGCTCAGTCCCACCAGGGTGTGCGTCAGCTTCAATTGTTTCCTGATAGACTTGGATCATAAACAGTGAACAAGCTTTTGTTTAGACCGTAAGAGGAGCTTTTGGCACTGCACCAGCAAAACTCCCTTCTCCTGCACGCAAGTTCTGTGCAGCCCAGGGCAGCCCTCGTGTGCCAGGGATCACACCTGGGGCTGCTCTGGAGACTCCTGCAAACTCTCAGGAGGAATTGCAGAGGTTCTGGAAAGTGCCTCAAAAATGTGGGTTCTTGAAGCAGGAAGGTTTGTGTCTCGCCCATGGGCAGGTGAAGTGCAGTGATGGGAATGAGATGTGCAGAAGTAATGTGTCTTTTGAGGGCTCTGAAATGGGCAGTTTGTTTATCCCAGTGTTTAACTGGAGCGCTTAGCTACAGACCATGCATGAGTTGGTGTGTGTAGAAACTATGTTCTCTAAATCATGTTTTAAAACTCAAAAATAGAAGTAGCCCAGTATGTGCAGGGTTTGGGAGCTGAACTTGTAAAGAAAAAATGCTGAAAGAGTGGTCTGTTTGGGATGACCATGGAAGGATGAGCTGGGTGTGGTTGCTGATATAGAGGATTAAAACACTTTGCCCTGCTGTAGCCTCTTTCCTTGGACCCCCCTCAGTGTGCTGTGTCGGTGCTGATGGACGATTTGCTGGGTTCTGTTGAGAGGAATTCTTTGGGCTGAAGTTCTCAGAAATCAGTTTGATGTGTAATTCAGGTCTGAGCTTCCACCAGCCACCTGGACCCACTGCACCAGAGGTCTGGCAGCTGAAGGGGAAAAGCCTCTTATTGGAGAGAAAAGATGGTTCTGTCACATTTGTACCAGCAAAAATTTGGGGTTTTTACTTTCTCAGCTTCTTTTCTACATTCTCTTGCGCATCATTTCACTTCCCCAGCAGTTCAGTTGTTGGGAGATAATACTGGAGACAAATTTAATTGTCTCTTTCAGGGTTATGTTGGACGTAATTTGCAGCACAGAATGTCAACACTGTGTACTTACTCCACACCATTTTAGCACATTGTTTCCTTCTCAACAAGGAGTTTTTTTCAGGGCATGCAGGGAAGGCTGGGACGTGGGAACCCCCGTGCAGCGCCAAGGGTGGACACTGCTATTTCAGGGGCTGCTGCGGTGCTTTGCAAGAGAACAGCTGAAAACAAATAAAACAGATAAAATGAAAGCTGATGGCACCTGGCAGCTTGCTGTGGGTATTACACAAAGGTAGAAAAAATAGGGAGGTGTCAAAACTCGTGGTGTTTTCATCTCGCTCTGGGGATGCTGGTTACACAGCGAGGAAGGTGTTGCTGGCAGAGAGCGCTGGGAGGGAGCGGCGTGTGCTGTTACCTTCCCAAAATGTGTTGAGGCTTTAATTAAGGAATGACTGCAATGTGTTTCCAGACCTTCCGGTGGAAAACATGAAATAAAACCTTGTCTTTCATATTTTTTTTTTACGTGTGTTAATTTGCCAGGCTGAGGCTCCCAGGGTTCACCCACCCCCAGGCCCAGAGCAGTACCTGGTTCTTGCCGCAGGGTCGCCGGCGGGAGAGGAGCTGTGGGCATGCCTGAGGTTTAGCATAGGCTGACATCCCGTTGAAATCTGTGGGATTAAAACCCTTGTTTCCACTTAAGCGTGGTGATAAATGAGGTGTTGAAAAGTATGGGTTTAAATATGCTCTTAAACCCATATTTCCTGGGAATCGGGAGGTACGTCCATCAAACGCTTGAGGAGCCCAGGTGGGAAATGGCTCCTGGCTCACGCTGTTCCCAGCTCGTGCTGACACAGTGTTTTCCATACACCGTGCCCTGCTGGTATCTGTGGATCTGGAGTTTCTACCTGGGCTGCTGAAATCACCTGTCACTGCGTGCCTTTGGAGCAGATGGAGCTGGGAAGGTATCACCCCTGCATTAAATCAGCTTTTGATTAATGGTAGTCACTGCGTAGGCACTTGGACATGTCTGGGAATAAACTACCCCAATTTATGTTGAGACTTCGTTCTTACAGAGTGGATTGAACGGAGAAACTAAAAACCACAAGTCCCGCACTGGTGTTTCTGCTCCAGCCATCTGTAGAGACGCCCTTCGTGTCCTGTTTGTTGGGGTTTTTTTACCCTGAGAAAACCTGATGTAATTGTTTCCCTGTGCACCCAGAGGTGATTTGTCAAAATCCCTACTGCTCCTTGGTAATTTAATATTTATGATGTCTTTATAAGGCCGGTCCTGCTCTGCTGACTCGGAGGCGAGGGGGAGAATACATTGCATAAATTAGGCTGCATGAAACACGAGCTCACAGCTCTGCCGGGGCACCTGGGCAGGGAGGACATGAAGGCAGCAGTAATTGGGTGTCCAGCAGCATCTTCCTCAGCATCTTCCTCATCATCCCTGCCTAGCTTGTCCCAGCACACCAAAAATCCTGAGCCATCTCTGTGATCAAAGACCCCAGACCGAGTGCTTATCGTAGGGTTTCCTGTTTAAGTTTCTGTGTCTTCTCTGTTTCATGATGCAGCAGTTTGATAAAACCAGGCAGACACTGCCAATTGTCACATCTTGATCTTTTTTATCATTATTGAACTTTAGGTCAGGTTAATCTCTGCTTGTGACCTTTCAGAGAGCAAGTGAGGCAGAGCAGGATGGGTGGTTTATGTTATTGGATGTCACATCACGTATGTGAAGATCTCGAAATGAAACATGATTGAACAGTCCAGATACTGGGGATTGTATTTTGTTTTATTTTTAGGAACCAAAATTTCCAAAGTTTAGGAACCAAAATTTAACCAGAATTAAAGTTTTCCAAGCCGGTATCCTTTGTGGTGGAAATTTTACTTGAAATTCAGAGGACACCAAAATCCCTGTTTTCCTTCAAGCCTCTTTTTTCCTAAAAAATAAATGTTTTGAGAGTTTCTGCTGAGCTCTGTTCCCAAGATCTCCATCAGCTCACAAAGCCCCTGTTTGCTCTTCTGTGAAGCAGTTCTGACAGTAATGGATGGGTAGTTTGCTTTATTTAATCCATCTCTGTAAAATTTTAGTGCTGAAAGCTATTGCGTAGTGTCAAATGATAACGGTGCATCCTTGCAGCTTCTTATCAATCAGAGGGGTTTTTTTCCCCCCTTACAGAGTTTGGAGCATGGTTCCAGCATGGTGCCAGCTCTTTGGGGTTGGAGCATCCCTTGGGTGTGATGGCCACACTGCAGACCCCTCACCTGGTGTCCTTCCCTTGTCTCTGCAGGAAGGGGATTCCCTGGGGGCCATGGAGAAGCTCTGCCGGCAGCTCACGTACCACCTGAGCCCCCACTCGCAGTGGAGACGCCAGGGCATCATGAAGAGGAAGCCACAGTCCTGGTGAGTCAGTTTGGAAACCGCTGTCACCCCCGTGGATCGTCGTCCCCAGCCTGGTCCTTGCACCCTCAAGGCCACCACAGGCTCAGGAGAGCAGGAAAAGGGATTTTTCGTGTTGCTTTTAGCTGTGCTGTGCAAATGTGGGTGCTGGTGGGAGCTGCCTGCAGTGATGGGAGGAACAAATCCACCACGATTTGGGAAGTGCTCAAAGCCATTAAATGCTCCTGGAAGGAGCCAGGATGTCAAAACCTCCCAGCTTGCAACAACCTCCAGAATCCTCTATTGTCTTCAGTCTCACCAGTGTTTCCCCATTTGTGGTTGTGTTATCAGGTTGCTTCATGCTGAACCAGAGGTGTTTTCCTCCTTTTCCATTTTCCTTTCCCCGTTGCATCCTGGTTTCCAGAGAGCAGCACAGTAGCACCCAGGGAAGAAGGAACAGGCTGGAAAACCTGAACCATCCATCCTCCAAACATCCCATGCTGGGCATTGGAGAGCAGCAGACAAACTGCTCCAAGACATCCTAATTAGGTGGTAATTAATGTACAGGCACCATGCATACTGTGGCTTGCAGTGTGTTTACACAAAAGGAATTTTTTTATTAAAAATGGGGAGATGACGACCCCAGTCACCTCCTCATCCAGGTCCTCAGCAAAGCATCCTGGATCCACAGAGCCAAGAAACCTGTAGATGAGGCTGAAGGGAATAGAAAGAGCTCCTTGTTTTCCGTGATGTTATGCATTATATATTTACTATTTTTGTATAAGGAGGCAAGAAATGGAAAAGAAGCCACAATCTGGCAAAGTCAGGATTCCAAGTGCTGGCTCCTGGTTCCAAGAGAGTTCTGGTCCCTGTTGTAGAAGATGCTGTTTGTAGCCATAGTGGAAACTAATCCAGTGAGAAAACTGGGTCTGGAAAGATAAGAGGGGAGGAACATGGACACAGGAGGAAAACAGATACAAGCAAATAAAGGATTGCATGGCCTAATAGGATTAGGGCCATATATCCTGGAGATCTGGCTCAGCACCCTTACACACTGCTGTCCTTAGAGAATCAAACGTGGAGAAACACCTCCATTTCATTAGCAGTGGGAACTGCTTTTGGTGTTGAGCATGTTTAAGGTGTACTGGTGACTAAAATTTGCTCTTTCCAATAAATCATCAGAAACAGAGGGAGCATGTTGGGGATGTGTCCCTCGGGCTGGGCTCAGCACACGGAGCTGGGTAATGACCCGGGAGCTCATTGCCCTCTGGGGTTTTTTTCTTGATTAGAATAGGAAATGCACACCCCATGTCACCCCATCAGGGCATTATCAAAGTTACGGTGATGGGGCAGTGGGGAGCTCTCTGCAGCCCAAAACACAAGAAATTCTTGAAAATGAAAAAATTTAAGGCAGCGCTTTGTGCCACTCTGTCTTTAATTGCCAATCCCTGTCCTTAATCATCAGCTTGGAGCGGCTGTGGGAGCACATCCTTGTGCCAGAGATTTGCAGGGCTTTATCTGACAAGGCTGCTGGAACACTTGCCTTTCCTTGGAGCAGCCAGGGAATAGCTGAGGTTTTTCACGGTTTTAACTGCAGGGATGAGGTTTCAGCAGTAAATGAGGCCCTGACCACATGGCAACGACCCCAGGGCTGGGAACATGGGACACAGTGGGAACATGGGACACTGGCTGCTGGCTCTGCCCAGGCCAGGGTTTGGAGGATGGGATTTGCCTGGGTTTCTGGTTTAGATGCTCTGTGAGTTGAAGCCAGCCCTTTACTGGAAACTGAGGTCAGCCTTTTGCTAAGGTCTAAATGCCATGATGTAGAGGTTATAAGGAGACTAGAGAGAGCATCTGTCTTGTCTTCCCTGTGCTGGAGCACTCACTGCTTTATTCATGTGCTGGCAATTCCCCTGCCAGGGATGCTCCTGATCTCTGTGTAAGTTGATTCCTTGCACAGCAGGTATTTCCCCAGAGTCCCCACTCTGGCTGGGGTTTGCCAGTGCCCTGAGATGCTTCCAAGGGAGTAATGGGGTCCTATTCCCAAGTGTTGGTGTTGCCTTGACTCAGCCCTGCTGTCAAACGTTTCAGGAACTTTCAAATATTAATTTTCCACACTTTTTTGTGTGTCTGTTGGCCATCCACACCCCATCAGTGCTCTGCCCTGAGGCTGCTCCTCCTGCCACTCCTAGCTCCAGCTGGGGAAAACAGGACAGGGGCTGCTGCAGAAGAGATGATGGTTTTTCCTTTCCCTCCCCTCCTCCTCCCTGCAGCACCGACTTTGTAACATCTATGGGCTGCACGTGTGAATGACACTTTCTTAAGCCATTTCTCCTTTTTCTTTGCTCTTTCTTAGTTCTTTCTTTTAATTTTCTCTCCTTCTTGTTGGAGAGGAAGTCTTCTGACAACCTTGGGGTTAGAAAGGGACAATTTGGAGTCACTCCCTGTCCTGTGTTGTGACTTCCCTGGAGGATGCACCCACAGGAAGCATTAGCTCTATGTTTGGATGTGGTCTCTCATCTCCTGCACAGTGATTCTAGTCCTTGTCATGAATGTTTTGGCTTTGTCCCTGGTTCCCTGCTGATAATATGGATTAGGGATTGCTGAAGGATAACAGCAGGGGCAGTGGAACCCATCATGGAGAACTCCCAGTGCAGAGCTGCAGAGTTCCTGGGGAATGCTTTGTTGATTAGGAATCTGTATCTTGATGATACCTTGTGCTCCTGGGTCCCATCTGCAGAGGCACAGTCATTACTGCACTGCCTCCTGACAAGCCCAAACACACACATCATCCTCCATGGCAGGGCTTTATTAGGAGGCATCATTTCTCCGAGCTCACGACTGTGCTCCACAGTCCCCTGTCCCCTGCAGCTGGGCTGGAAGTGCTGGAAAGGTTTGGGAAGGAACTGGAGTTTAATTATCCCTACAATTGGGAACGGTGGGAGTGCATTTGTAGGAGATGGCTACATTAGTGCAGTGCTGATCCCTCTCTTTGATCCAAAGTTGTGGGATCAAGGGGGTCTCAGACAAAGTGGGATGCTGAAGGGGCGGTGGCTTCTGGATGTCATTGTATTGCCACCTCCTTGGATGCACAGAGTCAAATTTTTAGTGGGATAGCATTCCTTCTTCACTGAGTGCCTGTTGGCATTTCCATTGGGCAGTGGGGGACATAGCCAGCAGCAGAGGGGTGGATCAGTCCCTCCTGGACCAGCTCCTGGGACCCCCTGGTACCTTTGCTGAGGTCTCGCCAGCGTGATGAGAGCCCTTCACAGCTCAACTGAGTGCTGAGCAAAGCCAAATAGCTGTAATTAATCTCACCAGAAATATGGCAAAATAATTACAAGGGAAAATTGCTTTTCTTTATTCCGTGACTGCCGTATCCATTACAGGTGATAATGGGAAGTGGAGCAGCCGGAGGAGGAGGATGGGGATGGATGATAGAGGGGGCTGGAGCTGATTTTGCAGTCAGTCGTGCTGTGGTCAGGCAGCCTGCTGTGTAGGCAGAGGGAGAGGCTCGTGCTTCCCAGTTCCATCTCATCCCAGGCATCACGTCCAGCCTGTGTGTGCACAGACAGAGCTAAATGGAGGGAGACGCTCTCAGCCTTGGCTGCCCTGCTCTGCTGTGTTGCCTGGCACCAGAGCACCCAAACCTGTGCCAAATGACCTTATTTTTTTTTGCATATTATAAATCTGTCTGGCTCTCCCTTGCTGTCTCTGTGCCTCCCTCTGAATTGCATGCATTAAACATCCAGGATGAGAGGATAGCCAATAGCAGGAGAATGAAGCCAGCCTGCAAAAGTAATTTGAGTGTCCCTGGGCCTAGGGCCACGATTACAGTCCAGTGTTTAACTAGCAAGTGTTGAATCGGATCCTGGAATCTCCCTGCTCCTCCTGCTGCCAAGTGCTCGCTTCAGCATCACAAAAGCAAAACTGGGAATCAAAGCTCCACGTGCCTGTAATTGCTTTGGAGAACAGGCTGGATGCTCTGTGGGGAGGGAGGAGGTGTTTCCCTGGGGCTTTGCCACGTCTTTCCTATCCCTTTGGGATATCCCATTACTGTTGCTGTCCTGTGTTGCTGCTGTGTCCAGGAGCGATACAAACGAGCCAGGGATGCAGCAGGGAGGATGGAACAGTGGTGTCTTCCCCCCTGGGCTGAGCAGTGAGCACCAGCTGAAGGAATATTGATAATTCATATCATAACTCCAAATCTAGCCCCATTTTGCATCAGGTAAAACCCACGGTTCCTTGTTGATGCCACCGGAGCACGAAGCATGGAAGAATTTAGGGTGAAGCAGCTCAGTTTGAGCACTGTTATTAAATGAGGTCAATCTGGACCCAAATTTGTGGATTTTCTAATTCTGTTGTTGCTCTGCAATAAGCAGAGAACCTCCTAAAAAGATTTTGCAGGTGGCTTTACTTAGCTCCAGCCAACTCTCTTCTCTTTGCCACTTGTCCTTTCTGCTGATGGCAGGGCCAGCCTGGGAGTCAGCCTGAACTCCCCTTTCCTCTCTTAAGACTCTCTGAGGTGAAGTAGTTAGAAATCAACTTGAAAGAACCTGGCTAAAAGGGCAAACAAACAGTTTGGGGCACCTCTTGGAAATCAGGAGACTCCATCAGGCTGTGGCAGATTTTAACCCCTGGTTACCTGTGGGTTGAATGTTCTCCATTGCACTTGGCATCCAGGTACAGAGACCTGTTAAAACAGAAGAAAAGGGTGTTTTGATTTAGTGATGAACTTGTGGAGGCTGAGCGGCCTTATTTTGTTGGTAGGAATGATCTTCTAACATCCCACTCCTAATTTCATCAGGGGCACAAAACATTTCTGTCCTGGAGGAATGCTGGGCACTGGTTCTTTCATACTTGCTTGCAGTGCCTGCTTGAATTCCTTTATAAGGAAAAAAAAAAAAGGGAGTTTTCAAGGGAGAAGCCCTTTTGAAAACAGAAAGAGAACGTTTGTGGATGGAAATCCTCCGCTGCTGCCGGCAGCTTGTGGGCGAGCGATAGGAGAAGTTGTAGCTCCTGCAACAAACGGTCCCTTCAGAGCATCCGACACAAATCCGCTGTCGGTGGGAGGAGGCTGGAGCAGGAATTATGCAGTGTCTCCTCTTCATTAGAATCCCTCTGTGTGTCTGTGTGTGCACAGCAGGCTGCTGGCAACTGCTGCAGGAGAGCAGAGGATTTGTGATCCAAAGCCTTCGGGAACGCGCGTGTGGGCGATCCCTGCTCTCTGTGTCCGTGGGACGTTGTTGTACCCTGTGTTACACGACTGTCCCAGAGAGCAGAAGGGAGACAACAGCAAAGTGCTTTACAGGACGTGGAGAAAATGCCACAAAGCCCAGAATGAGTTATTGTCTGGTGCTGTGATTTCAGGGGGTGTTCTAAATCGCTCCACCTTTTGCAGTGGAAAACAGGCAATTTCCAAACATTTCCAGCATGGCCTGAGGCTTTGTGCATGTGGAGAAAAGCAAAGTTCTGATTCTTGGTGGTTCTTTGGGCTGCCTGGGGTTGGGAACTGAGGCCTCATCAGTGGGATGCTGGGCCCTGGCGTACAGGTGGGTCCTGCATCCCACAGGAGGAGGTGGGTGAGGGACAGAAGTGCTCCTGGCCGTGGTGGATCTTCTGACCTTTACTGGGTTGTATCACAACAACAAAGGTCTGCAGCCTCGTGGTCACTGAGTCCATGAATCCTTGTGCTGTCATCCTCCTCAGGAGCTAAATACCTGCTTTGGTGGCTGCGATTTGGTGATGGCTCAAGAAGATGGATCACCCCCGGGGCAGGACAGGCTGTAGCCCTCTGCACCCTGTGGTTGCCAGTGTTTGTCCTTGTCCTTGCCCAGGCGTGTTGTCACCAAGCTCCAGCCACCTGTGGCTGTGACACAGAGCTTGGGTTGTCTCTGACACGATGATTGCAGTGAGGATGCAGGAGGGAAGCAATTCATTCCCAGGGTGGGCACTAAATACCAACTGCTGCCTGCCTGTGCCTAGAGACTGTTATTAAGAGCTGTGCTGGGGTGAAGCAGAGCCTCCCCCCTCTGTGTACCCTGCAGCATAGAAACATTGTGGTTATTCACTATATTATTTCTGTTAATTGCCCTAAGAGAGGCCACCTCCAAGCACGTCCTACCCTGCTCTTGTGGCTGAGGTTTGGAAATTGGAATTTATTCTCAGAGTATTGTTGTGGTTCAGCACTCAAATCCCAGCCTGGCTGAGGCAGACCAGGTTTTCCTCTGGAAATATTGAATGGCCACCAAAAGTGTCTTGCAAGGTGTCTGATGTCTGGTTGTCTCTTGTCACCAGGCTACTCGTTGGCCATACAGGGGGGAGTCCCAGGAGAGCAGGTCCTGCAGAGCCACTTGGTGCAAAGGGGTGTCCCTGCCTGAGCAGGGCTAACTGGGAATGGGGAGGGTTAACCACAGGCACTGAGTAATCCTCCACTGATAGATGATGACTTAATGTGATGGGAAGACCTGGAGTGACCCACAAGTCAGAAGGGAGCTAAGATTTTGGGAGAGAGAGTGGAAAACAAGGGGAGGATGAGCAAGACAAAAGAAACCTCCCCCTTGGCTGCTGTCAGAGATGTTCTGAGTGATTTTGCAGCTTGGGGCCGTGTCCTGTGTGCCCCAGCATGGCTGTGGTCAGGGGTGCCACTGGCATCAGCTGGCTTATGGTGCATCCTGCCTGTCTCATGTGTTTGCTTGGCCTCTTCTGAGGCATCAAACTCAGACTTATAAAGCACTTTATTCAGCCTTATTCATGAGTTATTAATGCCAGCAATAGCAGGGTGGGGTGTGATGTTCCCTCTGTATCAGAGGGTGCTCGGCCCCCATGGAGCAAATCCCAGTTGTGCCCACAGCACAAATCCCTCAGCACTGGCATCACGCAGGGCTGAGGATTCCTGGCACCTACAGCAGCTCCTTTGGGAGATACCTTTGGTTTGGTCTGGTTCACGCTGAGCCAGCATGCATAAACCTGGAATATTTTCTCTCCTTTGGCAGAAATGTTTGGAAACTTGCGGTCCTGAAGAGCAGGGGGGGCTGGTTCCAGCAGCGCTGTGGGATCCGGCTCTTTGCCAAGCAAACAAGCAGGTTTACTGGGGTTCAAGGCATGCACCATGGCCAAACAAAAAGGAAAAAAAGGAAACCTTTAGAGGTACCAGCAAGGAGTTGGGAGAAATATTTGGATGTGGATAATTCTACAGTTCATATCCGAGGAGTGCACTTTTCATCACCTCTGTCCTTCTCACCTCAATCTCCTCCATGGCCATGGGGCATTTCCTGTGTCTGCCAGTCTGGGACTCTTTGGACGTTTTATAGTGACTCAAGATGTGACTTTCTATTTCTTTTATAGCTGGGATTGGAACAACCATGATTTGACCTGTCACTTGTTCAGTTCTCAGTGCTCCTCTGCATGATGCTGCTTCTGGGCTCCTGCCTCTTGAATTTATTCCCTTTGGCACATGCATGGCTGGAAGCACAGTGCCTTCTGTAGTTTTGCTCTCTGATGGTCTGTGTGACTTCAAAACTGCCTGGTCAGGGGCTCCTTTGTTTGTGGAAAGTCCATTTTCCAAGATAGCTGAACTGGAGCAACCTTTTGGGGCCTGGTCCTTTGCACGCACCAAAGTACCTGGCCAGGATTTTTTGCTCCGCGCTGGCACCCCAAAAGAAGGGTTTGAATGAGTGTGGTGGGGAGGTTAAACCTGGGGTTAAATATGCCTAAATTGCTTCTCAAAAATGAGGAACGTGGTGGTGAGCTGCTGTGGCTGTGCCCTGGCCCTG